GTCACCACCCTGAGCAGAACCTCTGTACACATTAAGCAATGACTTCCCTGTCCTCCCCCGGCCCTGACAACCTCTAGTCTAGGTACTGATTCTAGGGACCTCAGTGGGATTATATTTGTCCTTTTGTGATTGGCTCCTTTTGAGATTTACCATATTATAGCCCGAGTCGGAGCTTAACCACATCTTGGGTTGTTTTCACCTTTTGGTTATTGTTGAATAATGCTCTGAACACTGAGGTACAGTCATCCTAATGGGTGGAAGTGGTACCTCATTGTTAATTTGCTTTGCATTTATCTAATGATTAGTGATATTGAGCATCTTTTCACATTTTTTTTAAGAGAAAAAACATCAATTTGTTCTACTTATCCATGCATTCATTGATTGACTTTTGTATGTGCCCTAACTGGGATAGAACCTGTAACCCTGGATTATCAGGACAACACTCTAACCAACTGAGCTACTCAGCCAGCGCCACGTGTATGCTTATATCTTCTTTGGAGAAATGCCCTCCAAGTCCTTTGCCTATATTTTAATTGGGTTGTCTTTTTGCTATTGAGTTATAAGGTAGTTTTTCCTATTCAGTGGGTCATCTATTTCATTCTCTTGGTCGTGTCATTTGGTGTGCAAAACTAATGATTTCGAAGTCCAGTTTACCTATTTTTACTTTTGCTGCCTGTGCTTTTGTGTCATATTTAAGAAACCATTGCCAAAACCGGTTTGGCTCAGTGGATAGAGCGTCGGCTTGCGGACTGAAAGGTCCCAGGTTCGATTCCGGTCAAGGGCATGTACATGGGTTGCGGGCACATCCCCAGTGGGGAGTGTGCAGGAGGCAGCTGATCGATGTTTCTCTCTCATCGATGTTTCTAACTCTCTATCTCTCTACCTTCCTCTCTGTAAAAAATCAATAAAATAAAAAAAAAGAAACCATTGCCAAGTCTAAGATCATGAAGACTTACTGCTGTTTTCTTCCAAGAGCTTTATAATTTTAGCTCATATTCCGGCCTTTGATCCGAGTTAACTTTTGTATGTAGCGTACATTAGGGTAGTTTCTTTCTGCGTGTAGATGTTGTTTCCCAGCACCTTTGTTGGAGACTGTCCTTTCCCTGTAGAGTAATCTGGGCACTCTTGTTGAAAATAGTTGATTGTACTTTTGAGGTTTATTTCTATCCTCTTAATTCTATTCAATTGGTCTACGCATCTGTCTTTATGCAAGCACCACAGTTTTGATTATTGTAACTTTGTAGCAAATTTTGTATTCAGGAAGTTGAGTCCTCCCATCAGTTTTTCAAAATTGTTTGACTATTCGGGTCCCTTGAAATTCAACGTGAAATTTTGGATTTTTTTTTCCTTACTAAAAACACCAATGGGATTTAGATAGATTAAATATGTGGTTTGCTTTGGGAGAAGCATTGCCATCTTAATAGTCTTCTAATCCATGAATATGGGATGCCTTTCCACTTATGTAGGCCTTTCATTTCTTTCATCAGTGTTTTGTAGTTTTCAGTGTATAAGTCATTCATTTCCTTGGTTAAGTTCATTCCTTACTTATTATTTTTGATGTGATTGCAAATGAATTTCCTTAATTTCCGTTTGGGTTGTTTGTTGTTAGCGTGTAGAAATAGAACTGGTGTTTGTGTGCTGATTTTGCACCCCACAACTTGGCTGAATTTATTTTGTGTGGGGACTCTGTAGGGTTATTTATATATAAAATCATGTCATCTGTGAATAGAGGTAATTTTCCTTCCTAGTTTAGATGGCTTTTATTTTTTCTTGCCTAATCTCTCTGGCTAGAATGTCCAGCATTATTTTCTTGATCTCAGAGGGAACTTTTTAGTCTCTAACCATTGAAGATGATGTCAGCTATGGCTAGTCACACATGGCCCCAGGTGCTCCCTTCTATTTCTTTTTAACTTTATTTTAATTATAACATATTTATTGTTGAAAGTATTACAGATGTCCCCCCCCCCCCTTTTTTAAAGATTTATTTTTAGAGAGGAAGGGAGAGGGAGAAAGAGAAATATCAATTTGAGAGCGAAACATTGACGGGCTGCCTCATACACACCCTTAGGCATGTGCCCTGACCAGGAATCAAACCAGCCACCTTTTGGTGCACAAGATGATGCCCAAATGAGCCACACCAGCCAGGGCTCCCTTCCATTTCTGACCAAGTACCTTAAATGTCTGGGTCCAAAAAGGAAGACGTGTGTTCTCTAAACTTTTACTAGACCCTACTGGTCACGCACCAAGTCCCATGGCCCACTCTGGCCCGTGGCAGAGCTGAGTGGGGTGGCAGCCGGTGGAGCACATAGAGCACTCTTCCCAGAGGCAGCACTTGCCCCTCAAGGACTTCTGGTTGCTGTGAGTCTCCCATCAGGGTCCAAAGTTCCACGGCTGCTGGATCTGATCTTTTTTCTAGCTTAATGGTTGTTTTGGTCCAGGGCCTGACCCCTAAAGCTTCTGTATTCCACCTTTTTCCATGGCGTCTCGTGTTTGGTTTTGATATTTAGAATAGGGTGTAAGACGGCAGTCCTAAAAACCCACTTCTGTAGTCACTGTCCCTGCACTTGGCCCTCCCATCGGGGCAGTACCGAGCATCTGCCTGCTGAGTTGTTCTGGCTTTGGTGGCTGAGGGTCCAGTTCAGGGCACCCAGTTAGCACATAGACTGAAGCAGGCTAGCCCTGGAAGCTGAATCATATCGGAGAACATGAAGGAAAGTGAGACCCATGTACAGAGTCAGACCTATCACTGCATCTGATTTACCTTTTTTCCCCCCCAGAGTCTCTGGTAAAAAGAATGGGAGCAAAGAGGCCAAGAAGCCTGAAGAACCAAAAATCCGAAAGAAGCCTGGCCCGAAGCCGGGCTGGAAGAACAAGCTGCGCTGTGAGAGGTGAGGCGGGTGTGGGCTGCACGGCCGGGGGTGCGGCCGGGGCGGCAGCTCCATGTGCCCTGTGTTTTAGGGAGGAGCTGCCCACCATCTACAAGTGCCCATATCAAGGCTGCACAGCTGTGTACCGAGGGGCTGATGGCATGAAGGTAAGGAAGGTGCTACTGAAGCCAGGGCAGGAGTCTGCGGGAGCGGGGGGAGGTGTCAGGCCCAGACTCACCCACGGGTGCCTGTGAACCTGGGGAAATGGAGATGTGAAGCGACCCCGCCATTGCCATGCTGCATGGGGGAGGATGCATCAGCCTTTGCTCTTGGGAAAGCACCTGTCTTCAGTGAGGGATAGTGGGTCTGTCCCTTCGAGGGTGGTGCACAGGGCTCAGAGGCGGCAGGTGCTGTGTGGTGGGTGAGCTGCTGTCCAGGCCCAGCCCAGCACTCAGGGCCTCACTGTTCCCCTGCAGAAGCACATAAAGGAGCACCATGAAGAAGTCCGCGAGAGGCCCTGTCCCCACCCTGGCTGCAACAAGGTGTTCATGATTGACCGCTACCTACAGCGGCATGTGAAGCTCATCCACACAGGTGCATGCCCTGACCCCCTCATGGGAACAGCCCCAGGGTCCCCATCTTGGCCTCGTGGGTAGTGTGTTGTTCGTGGGCTGCAGTGTTGACAAGTCAGCTCAGTTGGTCAGTGTGGAACTGGCAGCAAAGAAATCCCTGTGCCTTTCTGTGCATGAATTGTGGTGGGTTTTAAATTTTTTAAAAAGTCATGTTTTGGGGATAAGAGGAAGCCACATGCATTGTAGAAATAGTGAGACAAAGGCTCAGATGCAGCCACCACCGTCAGCTCAAGGGCCACCACTTCTTTATGTCACAACCTGGGCTGATACAGATTCATCATTTTCATGGTGTGACCCACATCACCCACGTCAGGAAACACAAGAACCACACATACACCTACTGTCCAGGATCAGATCGGTCGTATAGTTTGACTGTTTGGTTTTTGTTCAAGAGTCTAAGAAACTGACTTCCAGGATGGGGGCTCCCCTGGGGGTCCCATGTGGAGTGGCAGTACCTGAGACCTTGTGACGTGGCTCCTCTGAGAATCTGTGCTCAAGTAGGTAGAGGACCTTCTAAGACGTTTAAGAAAACTGGCTTCCACCGTGCAGTGGATTTAGAGGAAGCTCCAGACATGGGTTGCAGGGCTCCGCTAATGATTTGTATGAAAATTGTCTCATCTGAGTAAAGTCAGGTCAGCAAGGTCCCCTGCTTGGGCACTGAGTGTAGAAAGCCCGGAAGGTGGGCTTTCTGGGGCCTGTGCTCACCTGTCTCTCCTCAGAGGTGCGGAACTACATCTGTGATGAGTGTGGACAGACCTTCAAGCAGCGGAAACACCTCCTTGTCCACCAGATGCGGCACTCGGGAGCCAAGCCTCTGCAGTAAGTGTGACCTGGGGTCTCCTGGTGGCCACACAGGCACCCAGATCCTTGCTCACTCCCCCTGTCCCCTAGGTGTGAAGTCTGTGGGTTCCAGTGCCGGCAGCGGGCATCCCTCAAGTACCACATGACCAAACACAAGGCTGAGACTGAGCTGGACTTTGCCTGTGACCAGTGTGGCCGGCGGTTCGAGAAGGCTCACAATCTTAACGTGCATATGTCCATGGTCCACCCTCTGACGCAGACCCAAGACAAGGCCCTGCCCCTGGAGCCATCGCCCAGGACCACAGAGGGCCAGGCTGTGAAGCCTGAGCCCACCTGAAGGTGCTCAGCACCTAAACTCAACAGGTGGTAGGTGGGGTGGAAGGACGACTTTGGTAGTTCCTCCCATGAGACCTGAAGGCGCACAGCTTGGCTCACTCTGAGAGACCCCATGCTGGACCTCACCCTGTGCTGGAAGGTGGGGGCGCAGTGCAAGGCTGAGGTAGCCTTTCTGCATCCATTCTGGGACCAGCAGTTTATTTTCCTATGAACATGGACTTGGGGCCAGACACAAATTTTAAAGAGTCCTGTTCCTCACGCAAGCAGCCACGGAGGTTTGTAATCCATTTTTTCGTGCAACAAGAGCTCCACGTCATGCTCGTAATAAATTATTTACAAAGGAGCAGTGCATGTGCGGGTCCAGTCAGAAGAGGCAGGGCTCCTGGGAGAGGCCAGTGTCCCACACGTCCCGCTGCCTGCTCAGGAGGGCAGCACTCACTTCGGGGTCACAGTCTCCACGAGTGGCCAGCAGCTGCAAGAAAACACCATGCTCAGTGCAGCACAGCCCCAACACCAAGGCATGGGGGGGAGCTGGTGACCAGAGCTGACCAGAAAGTGGCCATGTGTTGGGCCCCCGCATCCTCACACTTGCATAGTGATTTGGATTATGCACAAACACCCTGGGGAGAAAACACCATGGGGAACACTTAGGTGTTACCTCTGCCATGTTAGAGAAGCTCTTTCTGGAGCACCGAGGTATTGATTGCAGCAGAAAAAGACGAGCTTTTGTTATCAGGCCGACAGGGCAGCCCTAGAGAGAACAGACAGAGCCACAGTCAGGTGCCCACACGTGTGCCAGGAGGGGTCATCACCTGAGAGCTTGCCATGTGGGCCCGTGGGATGTGCCCTCTGCCCCTTGGGTTGTAGGATGTGGGCCCGGGGGATGTGCCAATTGCCCGGACAGCCCACCCTTTCACCTGCCTGGCCCTGGAGCTCCTGGGTCCTGCTGGCCAGAGTCGCGAGTACACCTGTCTCCCCGGCTACGAAGAGGCCAAGCAGCTTGAGATACATGTCCACTGCAGTGTGCAGGAAGGCAGCATCCTGGGTGAGGGCGTCTTCGTCAAAGTAGGGGAGGAGGCTGATGGCGAGACTAGATGTCAGGTGACACCAAGACCTCCCAGAGAAGGGCAGTTGGCACAGGAAGTTCCAGGCCACCTCTGCCATCTGGAGGGAGACCCACTGTGGTCTGACCAGAACAGGGAGTTACCTGTAGAAGGCGACTGGCAGCAGCCTGACATGCTGGTCCGGGGCCAGGAGGAGGAGGAGGTGACCCAGGCCGGCATCTACAACCCAAGGGGCTCAGTCAGCCCTGGTTGCCACCCCCCAGGACCGGTGTCTTCAGAGGACCTTGTGTACCTTTGTGGGCCAGGCAGGTGGACCCCCACACGATAGCTCAGTGCCACCCTGGGGTCCTCGGTGCTCCACTAAATTCTTTTATACGTTTTTGTCCTGATGAAAATGTAGGGTTTATATGCTTTGCAAGAAGATAACTATTTGAAAATTGCTTCTGAAGGGACTCAAATGTCAAAAGCCACAGTCGGACCCTGCTGGGTCAACTGCGCTCCTGGCCAATGGCGGATGACTAGAGACCATTGGCTATCAGGTCTCAGTGGATTTCTTACCTGTCTCTGTCAACCGAAAGAGCGGCAGCCAGGGCACCTTCCTCTTCTCCAAACACCCCAAGATCTCGGCACAAACGTCCAAAGCCGTCAGGCAGTTGCCAGCCTGTGACCCACAGAAGAGGAAGAATGACTCGGACGGCAGTGGCTGCAGAGCTGAATGTTCTTGCTGGGTTCAGGCTGGGCACATGGGGAAGAGGGGCGACCCTCTTCACAGAAGGGAGCCTTTCCTTGTGACAGAGTGTGTCGCTCAAGGCCTCTGATGGAGGGAACGCCGGCAGGAGGAGGTGGCCAGGGACCCTGGGGCCCAAGTGCTGAAGTAAGACATCAAAACAAAGGCCAAGGCCAAGGCGCTCCTACTCCAGTGAGCACAGGCCTCCCCCGCCTCCCTCCTCCCCCTCAAGAGGACCAGCAGCTTCAAGAGCCTGGGGAAGAACCCTGACACGTGAGGGATAACATACGTGCGGGGTCAGGTATGTCGACAGCAGGCCCATCAAGGAAAAGAAAAACAGGACGGCCAGCAGCTGCAAATACAAACAGGACACCTGCAACGTGAGGTCACCCGGCCGTCCCCACCACGCAGTCCTGGGTGTGGAACGCAGCGTCCCTCACCACCACTTACAGGCCCAGGACACACACTTTTCCTCTACGTGGATCTTCTCAGAAAGAAAAATTCACACGTTTAAGCAGAAATTGTGTAAAATTATTACTGACTGATCATTTTTATGCTCGTCTTTAAACCAGGCTATTGCCAGGGGTCTCCCTGGTGTGTGTCCCCACCACAGGTAGCTCATCTGTGCAGTGAGCCACCAGCTCAGCTTTGTTCCCTGGCTTTGTGTCCAGAAATGTTGGTAAAACTCTGGTGGTAAACCCACAGGCTACATCCCACCCCTCTGACCCTGACCGCAGGCACACCCAGGCTGGATGGCGCCTCTGTGGACCCTGTCCTGTCCCCTTGGTCAGGCCTGTCACCAGGCCTTCCAACAGAACCACCTGAAAACAATCATGGAAGAATCTTATTTGTAGGTTTTTTACTTCATTAATCACCAAAAATAGATTGGCTCAGCAAATGATTTAGTTGTCCAGCAGGTGGACACGTGCTGAGCTGACAGGTGGCCTCGAGTGCCCTGGCTACAGACAGTCCCACAACTCCCAGTAGGGACATTTCAAGGTGCCAGCCTGGACTCAGAGCACCTGCCCTCCACCTGCCCTGTCTCTCGGCCAGTGCCGAACTTTGGTGCATGTGAACCCAGGGTGTGGAAATGGACACCAGGTTCCACTGGACAGGTGACAGCCCTGCCCGGGGTTGTGATGTGAATAAGAAAAAGATCAATGAACGCACTTCAAAAATGAAACTAAGATATTCTTTTTACTAATAAACTTGAGAGTCAAAGTCTTATGAAATCTTAAACCCAGCATATTTACTTTCAAATAAAGTGTCAGAATCTCCAAACTTCCTCCTGTCTGTGCTTGGGAAAGCTCAGTCATTAGGTGAGCTCTGAGAAACACCACTGACCAGAACACTGACAGCGGGCCTGCTGGGGAGGGAGAGAGAGAAGAGCTGTCCTTGCCTCCTCCGTGGGGCAGCGCAGCCTCTCCAGGCCTCTCCTCAGACTCCCTTTCCCAGCTTGTTGAATCGTAAAGTGCAGCGCAGCAGCAGAGACCCAGGCCGGGCCCGAGGTGGGGGACACTGTGTCAGGGGACTCTGTGTCGGGGGACAGGAGGCTGGGAAGAAGAGAGATGTGTGTCATCACAGAAGCCTGTCAATCAAGTCACTGAAAACCTAAGGTCCTTGTTCCCAAAACCGTCACAGTGCAGACCCACCCGCCTAGGGTGAGCCATGAGGGGCTCAGAGTCGGCAGAAACAGCCTGCAGAGCCCAAGCCTGTCATGGGCTCATCCTTGGTTTAGGGTCCAGTTTCTGGTTGCAGGATGCCTGTGCCCTGGACACGAGGCGCGGTAGGACCTGACCAGGCACTGGTCCCAGTGCCTGAGCCGAGGCCCATGGCCCATAGTGTGCGGCTCGGACCCTACTGACTGCGGTGCTGCTCAGAAAGGTTCTGCGGCCGGTGAAAAACAGGCTGGAAATTCATAATGGGGTGGAACGCACCATCTACTCTGTAGAAGGAGGTGGGTGGGCAGGACTTGCCTGCCTTGTTTCCTGAGCAGATTTTGAGCACCCCTGACCCTGCAGGGAGACGTGCACATCAGGGATAAAAACGCAAGTCACAGAAATGAAAGGCGGCTAGATGGGGACTTGAGATTCCTTCGATGACCTCATAGCACCACACATCCAGCAGGATACTGGAGACCATTGGCCCAGCAGTCCCAGGAGAGTGGGTCAACCAGGTCACTCAGGCTCAGAAACCTGAGCAGGGTTTAACTGATTACTTAGGCTGAAATCGGTCTTTCCCAAAACATTCCTGAATTCTCACTCAGGGACCTGTCAGATCAGCTCTGCCGCTGGGTCCTGTAGCACCTGCCCACCAGGCACCCTGTGAACACCCTAAGGTATCCATGGAGATAACCCAGAGCACTTTCTCCCCATGCCCCACTGTCAGCACCCACCTACTGGCAAACTGCCAGGCGTCACGCAGCCTCTGCAGCTCTCGGGGCAGCGGGCTCTGGAAGCACCTCCACCGACAGAGAAGCTCAGGCTCTAGGCGCAGCCACCACAACTGCCGGAGAGAAAGGTCACAAATCAATAGATCAAGGTCCTGAGGTTGGGGCAAGAGAGGTATGTCCACTCCACCAGCTGACACCACCCCCAGGCCAGCTCACATCTACCTAACACTTCAGAAGGTCATGGGCAACATCTTGTGCACTCCATCTCAGGAAGGCTCAGAGCCGTTCCGTGGGGCACCCTCATCTGCCTGTGCCAAGGACAAGGATTGGAAGCCAGAAACCTTGCCTAAAGAGGTGCCTGTGCGTGGAGTCGGCCACACTGTCCAATAGCTCAGCCAGTTCCCCAATATCCCTGCTGAGCAACACGGGACAGGTCACCCACTGAGCTACAGGGGAAACACCACCATTGCCTGTGAAGTAGCTCAAGTTCCACGCTGCTACTTCAACAGAGAAAGCTGTGTGGTCAGGGTGCTAAGACAGCCAGCAACGGCACCCAAAGGTCCCACCCAAGGCCTCTGGCAGGGGCTGAGGTAGCCTCTGTTCATCCTGAGACAGCAGCCGAGACGGCAGATGCAGCGAACACAAAGTGACACCCACAGGAGAGCACAGGCCGATACCGCCCAACCTCAGCCAACGCTGAACAGCAGGTGCTGAGCCAGTGCCCAGGCACATGCGGGAAGGCTGCTCCTTCACACTTGCGGGTCCATGCTGCCCGAGGCAGGCCCAGGGTGGCAGCCAGGGGACCTGTCACCCCACCTGTGTCCTGACATATTCTCCCTACCCCCACTTCTCCCCAAGTTTTCTCTTGAATTATAGTAACTGGGATGAGATTTAATTGGGAACAGACAACACCTCCAGCAGGAGAGCTGGGCCTACCAGAGCAGAGGTTAAAACCAAGGGGCACTCGGTCTGACAGACGGTCAGGATCTGGTTGGCTGTCAGGGTGGGGTCTCTGCTTCGTGAGCAGGCCTGGAGGAGCCCCTATAGAAGAGAATGTGCCAGAAGTTTAGCGGTTTGCACATGAACCCAAGCCCTGAAAGACACTGTGGCTTCCTGCACGGCCAGGTGGGAGGTAGAGGGGAAGGGAATTACCCTGAAGAAGTGGACGGTAACGTCGTGCGTCAGGGCACCTCCGTGGGAACCCAAGTTTCTCTGCAAAATAGTACAGGTCAGTGGGAGAGCAGCCAATGGTGGGAAGATGAGGATGGTGTCTGACAGGTGGAGGTGTGAAGACAGCTGCCTGTTCACAGCACCACCATGGACCCTGGAGGGCTGCCCCTGCTCACTGCCTCTCCACACTTCTCTGAGCAACACGATTTCCCCCAAGCCTGCCCGCTCTGGTGCCAACACAGGGGGTGGGGGGCCTCCAAGTGTCCGGGTACCCAGTGAGGCAGGGGAGCAGCTCTGTGTACTGGATGGAGCCCTAGTTCAATCTCTAGTCATAGCTGTGCTTTTCCAAAAACTAGAAAAATATCTCCGGGGTAGAAGCTGTTCCCTGAAGTGAGGAGGGGGCATGTTTATTTGTCACCTTACTGACCCTCCGAGTAAGATCAGAGCCCCCCACCCCCCACCCCCACTGAGCCACCTGCAAAATGGAAGGAAACGGGGCCACCTGGTGGCAACAGTGTGGTCACAGCATCACTCAGAGTCAAAAATGGAAAGAGAGATGCATGGTGAGCAAATGGATTGCAACATTCATGGGTCCAACAAGGCCGAGACGGTCCTGTGGAGGAGGCAGCGAGCCCCCGCCTGCATTCACTGGCCCGTGGTGGTGGTGGGTGAGGGCCTGCACACCCAGCTCCAGCCAACACGGCTCCACATCCCACGTGGTCAGGACCCGCCTGTGGCAATTACTAGTAGCTCCAATTGACCAGACACACTCATGAATTCAGGACCAGCCCTGAGTGACCGATTGCGCCTCATCCCTGAGTCCCAAGGTCACTTGCATGGCACTTACCAGCTCAGAGTTGACCAAGTGGAAGAACTCAGTGCAGTCAGGGGTGGCTGGTTGTTCTGCCCGGGGGTTGCCGACAAGGACAGACGGAGGGAGTCCGAGGAGGATTCTTGGAGAAGAGGCAGTGCATCAAGGGTGGAGGCATCACCTAACTTTGCTTCTTGAGAACTTAGATCTCAAGGCTGCAAGGACCCTCCCAATTCACTCTTGGAATCAGAGTGTGATCTGCAGCCCCCATTGTCCCCAGCCTGTGGCTGGCTGAGCACATGAACCCTATGATAGACACTCAAAAGATGTGACCCAAAACCAAAATGTAAGTTACATAAGAGGCAGGACACCAGTCTGACTATCTGGAGGGTTCCAGCATCTCATTCTCTGAGCACACAAGGTCTTCCTTCTTTTGACATGAGTTCTTTCCAACATTTTGATCCTGGGTCTGAGCAAAAAGCTTTACTCCCAAGTGTTTTTCATATCTCCAGGCCCTGCTTCTCCACAGAACCCCAAGAAGCCACCACCACAGGCTGGGGAGCAGGGGGCTGAAAATGAATGACAGACTCCAGTGTTGTTACCTTTTGTACATGAGTAGCTCCCGCTGTCTCTGAAGGCGGGAAGCCGTGTCCCACCCGCCTGCCAGAGCCTGGAGCCGGCTGCGGAAAATCCTGAAGAGGAAGTGTCCCCGAGATGGAGCACGGCCGTGGGGCACCACTGGGCCCTGTTCCAGGTCAGCAGCCATCTCCTAGAGAAAAACAAGGCTGAGACGCTCATGCATTTTCCTCTCTGGTTCCAAGTGGTTCTCTGTCCCCAAATGTGAAGGCAGAGAGTCCCTGGGCTTCCTGTCTGCCCCAATGAGGAGCCTGAAATGTTCTTGGGAGAGAAGTCTCCACAGGGCTCAGGGTGAGTGGGATAAAATCATTAGGAAGTTGAAAAACTTTGCAAAAATAAGACTAGCACAACGAAAACCTTTACCCAGATTCACCCACAGTTAATGTTTTACTCCATTTGTCATTTGCTCTTACCCTACACATACAGAGCTACACATACAGTGTGGGGGCACACATGTGAGGATGAATTACTCAGGTGAGGACTGTATACAGCAGGCACTTGATAAATGCCTCAGTGCACACGCAGTGTCCTTAACATGCTCACACACCCCATCTAATCACTGCCCACCTGACATGTGTACTCAGCTGTGTCTGCCCTCTTCAGTCACATCAGTCATGAAGGATGTGGAGAACAAGAGGTCAAGATGAGGGGGGTCAGGGGAATCAGGTCTCTTTTTTGTGGAATTTTCAGTCATTTGTTAGTAAATTTCCCCAGTGCTCTAAACCACAACCTCCATGTTTTCCTTTCCATTCCTATTTCCTAAATCCA